TATATTCATTTTAAGGCTGTATTAATGATTATATTATGGATTTAAATCTATTAATTATTTTCTAGACGCTCGGATTAACTTTCATCGTTAAATAGTTCTAAGGGTTAACTTTAAAGAAATAACTGCCACATTCTTGAATATCTTTAGTATCAATAAATATATAAATGATAATGTTTACGATATACGGTATAATATAGACTTTATAGCATGTATTATACAGGTAAATGCGCACGGAAGAACAATAGCCTAGAAAAACATGAAGAGCTAGGAAAAAAGTTTCGTACATTTTTCATGCATGAAATTTTTGTTAATATTCTTACGTCTTATATGAAAAAAATATTTGACATATATTTCAAAATTTTTCATCATATAACAAAATACTAAAAGGTAAATTCAGTGCATCAATAATGCTGAAATTGTGCGTTAATCTAAAATGAATGCGCCTCAAACTAAATTGAATGGGCCACAATCTAAAATGAATGAGGCTAAATCTAAAATGTTGTGCCTCAATCTGAAATGCAATCGAATTAATGTTAACAATGTTAGCAATACAGTAATACGCAATAAATGTAAAATCTGATTTGGTTTTCTGTGGAAAAAAATTTGTAAACAAAATTTCGGCGTGCAAAAAAGCTCAATTTGAATGATTCACTGAAAAGTGGCGTGGCTGGGCGCATGAAAATAAAAAAAATTATATTTTGTATATTGTTCTAAATTGTGGAGAGCAATTTTCGGTCCTTGAAGGAGTAAATGATATTAAATTATATCATATATAACTAATGTGGCATACAACATGAGCAGCGATTACTGTGCGTGCACTCAGAGAACTGTGTTGACTTTGTCCAAAAAGCGATGCACTTTTTTTAGACTTTGACCCAGTTTATTAATTGGTGCTGCGCGTCCTCTCGATCTGCTGGTGCTGTGGTTACATGAATGTATGTCACTATTTGGACAATGTGACCCATTTCTTTTTTTGAGTGTAGGAAGCCGGTATTGTTCGATAGTGCGTCGATAGCTTCACTCTTAGGCTTCATTGTTGCACACAATGAAGCTCTAAACAATCAATGCTTCTAATGAAGCGATTGAAGCCTGGGTCTCGCCATGTAAAAAATTACCGCCTGTTCAACATACATTTAGATAATCAAGCGAACAATTGACACGATAATTATTTTACCGAATCAGTAATAACATAAATTTTCCAAATAATAACATGAATTTTTATTTCCCCAAAAAATGAGAAGTTTTTCATTACAAGAGCAAGTTCATAGTTTCTGGTAATCGATTCAGCAACAGAGAAATGACGTGCAAAAATGAGTTGTTTGTAAAATATTTCTTATTTTAGATGAAAAGTTAGATTTCGTAAAATTTTTGCTATAGATCGATTAAAAGAATTTTTAATCAATTCTGATGAGAGTCATACCAAGATATATCAAATTCGTCCTAGATCACCAGCTAGTTCAACCCATATAACACAAATCATCCCAAGTCACCCCAGTTCACTCTAGATCGCCCAACGTCACCCCAGGTTCACCCTAAATCATCCTAGATAATCATAGATCACCTTAGATTACCCTAAATTACTCCAGATCACCCCAGGTTCACCCTAAATCATCCTAGATAATCATAGATCACCTTAGATTACCCCAAATTACTCCAGATCACCCCAGGTTCACCCTAGATCACCTAAAATCACCCCACTATCTCACCACACAAAGCAACGCTCGATTGTCATCACAGCTGCAGAAACTGATTCTACTTCCGGTATGATGCAGCAGCGATATGACGGTATGGTGCAGCAGCGATATGACGGTATGGTGCAGCAGCGATATGACGGTATGATGCAGCAGCGATATGACGGTATGATGCAGCAGCGATATGACGGTATGATGCAGCAGCGATATGACGGTATGATGCAGCAGCGATATGACGGTATGATGCAGCAGCGATATGACGGTATGATGCAGCAGCGATATGACGGTATGATGCAGCAGCGATATGACGGTATGATGCAGCAGCGATATGACGGTATGATGCAGCAGCGATATGACGGTATGATGCAGCAGCGATATGACGGTATGATGCAGCAGCGATATGACGGTATGATGCAGCAGCGATATGACGGTATGATGCAGCAGCGATATGACGNGTTGCCATATATCGAGCGAGTGTTGCCATATATCGAGCGAGTGTTGCCATATATCGAGCGAGTGTTGCCATATATAGAACGAGTGTTGCCATATATCGAGCGAGTGTTGCCATATATCGAGCGAGTGTTGCCATAATCCCACCGGCAACGGATCTTCCTTCCGGCAACGGACGGAACTTCCGCAGCGGCGGACGCTCCTTGCGTCGTCCGCGTTTCCGGCCACGCGTCGCTAATCCGCGTCTCAGCATCCGCCGCTGCCCTCCGTCCGTCCGTCCGTCCGTCCGGTTATCCGGGGTGTGCCGGGCTCTAGATTGCGGTAATCACGAATTAACTCAACCGATTTAGCCGCCGGCTATCCGGTTGGAAATACAATAACGACTTTGTTAGAAATGTTCCGAGTTTCATGTTAAGTCGAATTATTTACATTGATTAATAATGAATAAAGTGAAGGCTCTAACGAATACATTTTCTTTGAGATAAAAGAGCGAGAAGAATTAGTTTGTGATAATTGATGAAACTATTAACGATTGATGAGAATATCAAAACACGCGAGCAAATCAAGGGTTAGCGAAGGTTGCCCTTCCCCCCTCACCCCTCGCCCCTCAACCCCTCAGAGGGCAGGTGAGGGCAGGTGAGGGCAGGTGAGGGCAGGTGAGGGCAGGTGAGGGCAGGTGAGGGCAGGTCAGATGAAGTATGGCATTGAGAGTACACTCATAAAACAAATACCTCATATTGTCCAAATGTCGACACATTCTCAATCCACTGCACTAATAAATCTTTTTCCCATACTACTCCATGTCAGATTGACCCTCACAAAGGCAAAAAAGCGTATCGCTTTTAGGACGCGTCCCCTCATTTCTTTGAGTGTAACCGAATTTCAGGTCTGGCAGCTGAGGGTGAGTGAGGGGAAATGAGTTCAGTACAGGGCAGTTAAGGGCAGTTAGGGGCAGGTGTTCGGGCTGCAGAGGTTAGCAGTTCACCCCCTTACCCTCACCCCCGTACCCTCACCCCTCGTCCAACACACGCTCTGTAATGCCATAAAAACCGTGCGCATCGGAGCGCAACCAAGCATCGCTTGCGACGCTCCCAATAAATTGATCCTCTGTTTTTTATTATTATTTCTTATTATTGCCAGAACAAAAAACACTTATAATAAATTCTGTTTCGGCTCTTATAATTATTCGGCTCTTATAATTATAATTATTTTAGCTATTCAGACAAATCAGTAGTCACAAAACTTTTGAATTATTTTATAGGTTCAGATATTCGATAGACACAGATAAAGAACTTGGTGTTTATTCGTATTCATAGTTATGCTGTCTTCATTTTTGACTTGTGTTAACGTTATAATAATATAATTATAATGCATTGATTATATACATAGTCACGTACACACTACACTGAATAGACAAGTATACACCATACTACACGGTTCAGTATTTACACGTGTATATAGTGAACTGACAAACACTTTCATAAATCAATGCGGTGTCAACTGACATGTAGATTTTAGTTCGAGGGACAAAATTTGGCCTATATATATATATTCATTAATTTATTAAAGTGTTCATTTATTCCTCCAATTTATTATTCATGATTTTTATAAAAAATTTAGACGTATATTTCTTTATGCGAATCAACGCAAAAGAGCTGAAAAAGAATACATTTTGTGATAATCGAAGTATCATTTTGTATTAATCGATAATTAGATTATCTCATTTTGTAATAATCAAATCCGATTCGTTATCAGGATATTATAATTCTCATAGCAGTCGTAATCCTGATAATCCTGACTCGTATTATGATGTGCTTCATGATAATCCTGAAGCATATCCATTATAAAACTGACTTGATAAATAACCATAAAGATAAATAAGTGATAAATCAACTTCTGCAACATCATAGATTATCCTGAAAGTATTGCGTTAATCTAGGATTATCGAGCAGGATTTGATCAATTTTGCGCCGGTGCTGCTGTGCGTGCAGGTTCAGGATACTCGCAATCCCGGGATAATCAGGATAAACCCGGCCACGATTCCGGGGTAATCTGCGTCCGCAATTTCCCCTTCCGCTCACCGGCCACCTGCGCGGCGCGGGATGAGCGGCGCGCGCGAGTTGCGGGATGAGCGACGCGCGCGTGTTGCGGGATGAGCGACGCGTGCGAGTTGCGGGATGAGCGAAAGAAGCGCGATTTTTATTTCTAATTGAGAATACAACTTTCCTTCACTATTGCTAAACTCTATTCGTCCTAAAATGTGCAGCAGTTAATTTATTTAATTTTGGCGACATTTATATTTTTAGTGAAAAAAATAATAATTTATATCCGCCGAGTTTGAAGCATTATATTATATATATTATATATATTATATATTATATATTATATTATATTATATTATATTATACCATATTATATAATATTTATTACATTATTCCATATTAACTTATATTAGCGTTTCAACTTCAGCACTTCTAACGACTCACGCATAACCCAAGTTGGAAGTCAACGGTCAAGCGGATATCTTGTTGTCGTTGCCGCTGTTAATTGCTGCCACGGAATTTTTTCGTTGGATTTGCTGTAGTATCTCAATCCATTCACGAGATGCTCGTCCATTCACGAGCCCGCTGACCAATAGCAACCGCGGACGCTGCGCCACTGACCAATCACGTGCGAGATGTGAGGGTCACGGCTGACCAATCACGTGCGAGATGTGAGGGTCACGGCTGACCAATCACGTGCGAGATGTGAGGGTCACGGCTGACCAATCACGTGCGTGATGTGAGGGTCACGGCTGACCAATCACGTGCGTGATGTGAGGGTCATCAGACGTAGGGGCGGTCAGTGCTGCGGCGGACGTGGTGAAGGGTGTACGTGTCTTCCTGCATTGTCCGAGGGAACTGGACTGCTAAAAATGAGAGTGAATTTCCATTCTTAAAGGTATTTAAAGATTGCAATATTTGAGCGTTTCATTTAATTTTTAATGTTCAGATGCGAGGTATTAAATATTCCGAATTACTTATCCAAAATCCTTATTTTACGAGAACGAAAAATATCTAATGTGCAAGTACAGATAAATAATATAATACTAAACTAATCCTATATCATTTCGAAATTTCCCTAGTGTACTGATTCTTAAATTGGCAGATTCTAAAGATTTATGATAATCTGATAATAATTAGTGATCAATTGTCACTTCAACATATGATTTGTTATGTCTCTATAACTGTAATTTTTATTTATGGAGTGTGTTAGTATACCATATAAAGATTTATCTTGTTTATCATTGTTTCTTTTTATTCAATGCATGAAAATTACTGTAAATAAAGATAATATTGACACATTCTAATGTGTCTTCCGCAATGCACTGTCATCTTCCCTGTTAAACTGTTCATTGAATTTAATGTTGAAATCTTAACTTTCGTGTGACCCATTGAAATACATGATATCAATTTTTTTCTGCAATTTCGTCTCTTATGATAGATTAATTTTATTCAATCTGATGATTAATAGCGAATTTTTACAATGTTAGATTAGCGATGTGAGCGTGCATGCTTGAATCATGAATGATTTCATGCTAAATTTTATTTTGATCCATATCAATTTATTATTAAAACAAGCAGAAATTTAATTCATTGTCTCTATTTTTGTATACATGTCTTGTATGTTGGATAGTGTTTTAAATTTTTCGCAATAGGCATCATAATTTTTCCACTAACATCACTAGTCACACTATAAAGGTATAATATTCAACTCCATTTTTCGTTTTTATTTATGCGCGTACCGTTTTCACCGTAATAAATTTTTATTGTTACACTAATTGCTGTTTTTTCTTAGTGTCATTCAATTAAAAAACATTATCATATTAACTTTTCGTACAGATATTTTTTATCTCTGTTGGAAATAATAAATTAATAGTACGCACATATGCATATGCAATATGCATGGTATTATATATCGCAAATACTTATATTAAATTAGGAAAATATCATACCAAATTTTGTAGATTTAATTTCGGCTTGAACAAAAAATTAGTTTCTTGCAAACTTTCATACCGAATTTCAATGGGAGTTTATAAAAATCTCTCGTGAACGCTGTTATATTTTTACATTTTGCAATGGGATTCACAATTATAGGATTTAGTGTGACAGGATTTGTAATAAAGGGATTATGAAATCTCAAGGAAAATCTCATATCTATCCTGGGACATGAACTAATCTGTGATTGTAATATAGGATGTTGATATAATAATATGTGATATTAATATAATTTCTACTTATCTCATAATTTTCACTTTATTTCATCTTCTTCCAATATGCAGCTAAGTATTCATGATTCGAAATTACTTCTTATGTATGCATATAATTGAATATTTTCAATTTAATTTTAATAAATTTCATTCACTTTGATGTAATTTAATTTCAACGACCATTGCTGATCAGTTGAAGAAATACTTCAACTTAACTTTTCAATAAATTAATGGTATATTCATATGAAAATTCATAATAATAATTCAATTTAATATTTATATGCTTCACTCATATTTTTAAATAATTGACCTACTAAAAATTTATATTCAAGCAAAACCAGAAAAATCCTCTCACTATTTTAATTACAATTCATAATTATAATACATCGATATTATATGATAAGATAGAGTAATTTACTTATTCCAAAGTTAATATCCACACAAATATTAATATCTTATATATCCTTCCATTCGTGTGCAGTTAGAAGACCAAACAAGGGGATTTATACGAACCTGAAGGAGCGATCCTACGGCAGCCCCACTTCTCTTATTGTGAGTAAAGCTTAATGATTTACTTAACACTGAAATTAAATTAATTATTTATTTATTTAACCCGTAGAAATGAGGGTAATATTAGTCCCAAGCCTTGTTAGCGTCAGGTTCATATATAGTTAACATCAACATCTTGCTGTTAACATCTTTTTCAGCATCTTGATTAGATGTGAATATTAACCTTAATAAAAGTTGAACTTTCCCCTTTTCATCCCTATTAATGGCAAGATCAATCGATACAAATATACACCGTTATTTTCTTCAATTTTGATATCAAATATCTTTATACCTGATTTCAGGAATCATTATATCAAGAATTGAATATTCTGCAATTAATGTCCGTAAGAGAAAAATTAAGGGTAGAAATTTTTATTTTAGGAAATCAATGGACAATGATAACAATCAATATTAATAGTCAATAATCAATGACTTTTATCAAATCTAAAACCTGTCCTAGATTTTAATATGTGAATATTTATATATTTGTTCCTCATCGCAGTAGAAGTCACATTCAAGTTCAGCCTGACGTCCATAAGACTTGAAGCTCAATATGAAATTAGACAATTCCGTGTCATTATTATTAAAAGTCACATTCAAGTTCACACATTCAAAGTCACATTCAAGTTCACACATTCAAAGTCACATTCAAGTTCACACATTCAAAGTCACATTCAAGTTCAGTGTAAGTAAAAAAATTAGATTAGAACTCACTGCAGTCAGTGACTGCGAGCGCATTTTCTCGTCCGTCCGTGAAGTCACGGACGGACGAAATAGTCACGGACGGACGGACATGACGAGCACAATAGCGCCTTTTTTCCATAAATGAGAAAATGCGCTAAAATAAAATTCAACATGATTCATCACAGCAACATCCCTGACCGGAACACATTTAAAAGTGTCGTTTTAGTTTCAAAACTTTCATAAATTTCAAGTGTGACGAACTGCCATTTATAAGTGTCAAATCAGTGTCACTAGCGACACTTATTTAACCTTAACCACATCATTTATTCGACACGTAGTCGCTATAGATCGGGAGCAAATAACCAATGACATAAATTGATGGAGATCACTTACAGGTTCGATCATTTGAGCTAACTTTTAAATTGATGCACTCATAAATCGTTGAAAAACTTCAACTATTACTCGCACTTATACTCAACTTGTCATAATCAACGTTCGATTTCATCGAAGGCATCCGTAATTTCACTTATAATTACATATACTGAACTGGTCATGATATATTGTATCACGCCTTTTGAATTGATATACACTTAAAATTTTTAAATCTTTCTACGTATATTTATACTTAGCATCTCACAATTTACATTTAATTTCACACTTGACATCAGTAATTTCTCTAATATTGATATTATATTTTAGTAATATGCATGATTAAAATTTGTTGACTTTTCCAGATACTAAACAAGTGATAATTTACCATGACACAACAAGTGATAATTTACCATGAATTTAAACACTAAAAAATCATCGAAAGATTTTTACTTATAATGATAGCTAACATCTCACAATCGTCGCTTAAATTCATGACAGATATCGGTACCTAATTATTTATTATGGGTGTGGCCAATTGACCATATGTGTCAGACCCACTGACGATCGTTCGTAAGCACGACGCGTTCGTACGCACGATGCGTGACGTAAAGTTCGTAGTACGCACGGCTGGCTTTGTTGTATTGCTTTGTTGTGTTGCCAATTCATTCATCGATCAAAGTCCTAAATTGTCGTGCATCTGACACTCATAGCACGCAGCGTATGATGTTTCGACCGCCGCACGTGCTATACTTTCTCGTGTTATAAGTCGAATATTGTGATAATTACAGTTTTTAAATATTCATTCTCGTTCTCAGAAAAAAATATTAATTCTCAATCTCAACAATGAATATGGCTTTAAAATCATTATGATATGAAATAACTTGAATTTTTTCGAAACCAATACCCAAAAAATAATAAATGTTTTAAGTCTTCAAGTTGACTTGAACAGCTTTGCTTTCATAAGAATTTCTTTAATTGAGTAATAAATACAATTGAATACCCATAATCGAAATCTAATCATGCAAATGACTAGTTTGGATTTAATTCGAGATGAAAATTCACAATTTTACAGACTTGTGTGATAAATTCATTTACCTGATGATAAATCTCAGCTTGCAGATTTTAGGGTTAAATAAGAAAAAACTTTTCCAGAGCATTAATTTTAGAGGCACCAGGTTCCTCTTTACAAATAATGATCATACATAAACCATGCGAATATGAAACTAAAAATTTTAATGCAACTATTTTTTAAGTCAACAGTTTTTTCGTCGCTGCACACTAATTTTAGTTTTTGTTTCTACAGGCGATCGGACGTTTTCAAGATTCTAGGAGACACATCCTAGATTTTTGACACATCAGGTTTAGGTTTACTCCTGCGGAGCCTGTGAACTTGAAACAAATTCTAGAAATTAAATTATTTTTATATAATATCTGAACGACTTTAAGTCGTTATTTTGACACATTATGTCTCCAGGAGGGTCGTACAGAGTCCTAAATCTGTCAGTTCCCTTTAGCCGAAGACTAAACTTCAAAGTTGGTACCACAGAGTGCGATTCACCTCTGGCTGGTAACGAAATCAACATCCCGAGAGTTGAATCCACCACTGATGAACCATGCAATTCTATCGTGGAACATTCAACAAACCGACGACATGCGAATTCGCTAGTATCATCAACTCAGAAACACGAAACTTCTGCCTCCTCTTCCACGCATACGGAAGAATCCATGATATGGGAGATGAGGGAAATTAATTCTCTTGATGAACAACAGAGACTTGGACTCTGCAGTAGTAATGTAGCCAAGTGCATTTCGAGCGCTAGTTTCTGTTGTCCCATTGATTTCAGTAACTCTCAAACAGAACTTGGGCCTCAAACTACAATAGATTCTGAGCCATTAGATTTGAGAACTATGAAAACTAAGGAAAGATGTTATACCGGAAAGTATTTCGATATTCAAACCGGTTCGCAAGAAGCCCAGAAAACAGGATGGCATATTCCGAGAAGCCCGCCAACTACTAGCCTCCCAAAACAGTTCCTGGGCATAACAGACATCCTCAAAGACGACCGACCAAGTCGTATTTCTCGTATCAATCCTGAAAATGACCACACTACTGGAAAACATTTACTAAATTTCTCAAATGTTCCAAGAATACCCACCCTCTTGTGCCCAAAACCTGTGAGACCTCAAACTTTTATTGAGATGTATAAAAGCTTCGAACGAGATCCTCAACAATGTCCCCAGTACCACGTAGGTGGCATGAGGATTATTTCTGAACCTATGTTTCGGCAGCCATCTTTTCTCTTCACGTCTTCTGCACTGCCTGGTATAAGGGAGAAAATTAGTCATGCTTTTGGACCAACACGTCTTGTCAAAGACCGCTACAGCTGCAAATTTTGCGGCAAAGTCTTTCCTAGGTCGGCCAACCTAACTAGGCATCTCAGAACCCATACAGGAGAACAGCCATATAAGTGCAAGTTCTGTGAAAGATCCTTCAGCATATCAAGCAACCTTCAAAGACATGTTCGCAACATCCACAACAAAGAAAGACCTTTCAAATGTCCTTTGTGTGATCGATGTTTTGGTCAACAGACAAACCTCGACCGCCATCTTAGACACCACGAAGATGGCAGCCATGATGCTCCTGATTCCAGTAGCATCTTGGATCTTCCTGAATCCGAACTTCAGTCCGATGAATCGGATCAAGATGAACCCACATTACCAGAAAATCCAGACGAAAATCTTGATAATGTAAACTCTTCAAACCCAGATTCATATAAAATACCAGAAAATCAAGATGGCCGTCGAGGGACAAGACGGGCCTTGACTCCAGAAGACCCTTCCACCGCTAGAATTATGGATAACGTGTTACCTGTTAAGCGAATGAGACTTAGTTTATAATATATCTTCATAGGAGAGTTAACAGCATTCAGATTATTATTATTTGAATGAAAAAAAGAAAAACTCGCTCTCTAGACTATATTATTTAGTGTCTGCTATGTTAACATTATGTAGGCCAAATATTATATATTATTATGTCATCTTGACTAAAAAAACTGTATCTTCATTGTTTAAATTCTCCAGAAATTTCGGCGAATGAAGCGAATGTCACGTGACTGATGAGTCATAGAAAAAATGAAGGAACAAAAAAAATTATTTCTTTCATGAACTAAATATTGAATAATTTAGCGACTGATATATTTTTATCTGGAGCGCAGGACATTATAGAAAAATATTGAATCTCAGTCAGTAGATAAAACTCATTTTGAATTGACAGGGTATTAGGTTTAGCTAAGTGATTCATGACACGAGTTTGGCATTGAACAATGACTTATTACAGATATATTGAGATATAATATATCAATTTATCTTTTATATCTTATATTTATACAATATATATATGTATTAGAGAAATTGAGATATATTATAATGTAAAGTTTTCCGAAAGAGTCTTGGCATTGAACATTGATATGTTGAAATGAATAGTACCAATAGAATTCTAATGCAGCCTACTAATTAAGTGCGCTAGTCAGGATAGCGTCTTAGTATTATTTAATACTTTTTTATAACTGCTTAGCTTACGATGCATTAATATGAACTGATAAATATCTGATATTATATTGTATAACTGAGCATCACTCCGAAAATTGAATGGGTTGCATTGTCCCAACAGTGACACACTGTCTTGCCAACAACATCAGCAGAGAGTTGACGTAGCACTGATACAACCTTGTGATGGGCTAAACTGGGTTAGGGCGACCCATACCAGCACAAGAAGTGCATCATTATTTGGACGAAGACTTTCTTCTTATGTAGCGTTAAACAAATATTCACGCCTAACAAATATTCGCTGATTTTTTAGTGCTAGCTTGACTTGCGTTAATCTGATTAATTACACCTGAAGTACAAAAAATAATCTAATCTTCCATTCAAATCATTTAATGACAATAAATAAAAATTAAAATACATTTCAGTAGCGAAATTATGTATTGGTTATAACTCATGAAAATTATCACTCACGTGGCCATCAAAAGTAAATATATTTTATTCGGTTAAATCATACTCATATTTTCAGTTAACTTCGACACATTGCTCGTGTTGGTATATGTGACGTATACTGAACATGATGCATATATAATGTGATAGTAGCTGAATACATTCAAATTCATATGCTTACCAAGTACGGTAATTATTTTAAATAAAAGTTACTAATATTCCTTATGATTTATTAGTGGTGAACTTGTACTAACTAATACGTCAGATGTATTTTTATAACCTTATGATAATTTTCCCGGTTCGTGTATCCAAAGAATCGAAATTCCAATAATATTCATTTTATTTTCCTTAATTATAGAACAGTGTAAGCGATATTACATTACTTCTGAGGTGAAATATCAGGGAAACGATTATGTAGAATTAGTTGTTTGATAAGGTCCATAGATTTTCAGCTTTCTGCACTAGAATATATTCATTGGAAGCGCTTTCTAAATCATTGAAAGTTATTAGGTCTAATAGAAAGGATATATTTTATAAACATAATTAAACGTATTGGAAATCATTGGGTGATTATTGTCGTACAAATAATCTTCCTAAGGGCTTTTACAAAGTTCTTGTTCAAAAACGTGGGCATATTAAAGAACTTGCACTAAACATATCCTAATCACCGTATTCTGAAGAAATAACCACAGGTTTATTCACAAACATAAACTAAAAAAACTGCGCTGCAACTTCTCCACGCGACAAAATTTCTTCTCGCTTCGAATCACCGACATGTGGAACAGCCTCCCCATCGTTGGCGCTCCAAGTATGAACGCGTTCAAGAACATACTAGATAAAGCTATGGAAAAATATATGTTCAGATTTGAAATGCCTAGCACCATATCGAACCCGGTGGAAGTTTAGTAGCTACTTCAAACTATCGTCAGTCATGAAAAGATACGGTCAAATGAAACGATATTAGATCTTCTGTGAACAAGGCACGTAAAGGAAAAGAATCGGCGGCAGGTCACATCAGGCCTACACTTCAGCGCCGAGATCAATATGTTATGTTAACACTAAGCTTATCTCGGTCAATGAAATTTTTTAGAAATTCTAAACTATTCATCATCTCGGGGTGGCTGAGTGATTAGGATCGACAAGAGTAGAGCAGCAAGTTTGCGGTTCGAAACCGGTGGCGACAGTTGGCTGTGAAAATTCTGACTGAATTTGGCGAGGTGGCTGGGTGATTAACGCCAGAAATACTGGATCTATGAGTTTTGGGTTTGAGACCCGCAGCTAGCAGCAAAATTATGCGATGTCGATAATCTCATTCACCTCACGAGTAATGCATCGTAAAAAATTCAGAATGAGGCCTAATATTATATTGAACTGTATATGATTATCCTATAAAATGATGCCATGAATTGTTGTAACACGCCTAACATTGCATGTGTTTTGGACTGTTTGTCAGTTTGTAGCTGAGTAGTTTTCATTTATATAGTCAGAGGAGAACCTTTTAAAAAAATAAACAATGATATATAAGAATTTCCTGTTATCATGACTAATTTATTGTAATTTCAAAAGTGGATGGGTTTATTCCATCATGAACATAATTTTATAAATTAGCTGCAAAAACGTGATCCAATTTATTAAAATTTTGTTTGATGAAACGTGAATAACATCCTATTTTAAAGGATTGAGTTCCCCGCTAACCTTGATGAGCCCTACTTTATAAATCCACGAGCGCGGATTATTGTACATGGTTGAAAAAAAAAATAAATATCAGCTGATCGCAGTTGACGTTAGACGTTAGTCGGTTCAAGGAAGCGGAACGCATCATCGCATGGAAATTGGAATATTTGACAATGGTAGTTAATTAAGTTAGATCATCTGTTGCGTTAAGACGATTTTTCTGACATTGCCTAGGCGTAAAATCACAGGCAAAGGAAGTTTTACGATTATGGCCTAGGACGAGCATCCCAGTTTCAGTCAGCAAATCTGAATCAACATCAACTGATGATCAGATCATCTGTCAAGACAGTCTTTTTCCAACTCAGCACTAGACTCCTAGCAGGAGTCCTACAGTAGTCTCCTTACTCTCCTTAGTCTCCTAGATGTCTCTCATTCCACTCATCATTGAAGGACTTTCTAATAAGGTAACTCTTTTTCCATAAAAGTGATATTCTGAAAATTACTTGGCAAATATAGCTAGGTAGCCTAGGTAGGGCGGCTTAGACCACACTCAGGATGATGTATGTTTTCGGTGAATTTTCCCGCGCATTTTCACTTTTTTTAAGCTATTGCTGTGCTCAGTTGGCGCAATGTAATGAAAATTGATTCTCTTTGCGCACGTGTTTGCGCAATCCCAGAAATTTGGTGAATGAGAAATCTAGAACTTTATTTTAGAAGAAATTTTCTCCAAAGTCATATGGTAACACTGAACACCGTCTGTTTACATTTCGTATGTATAATAGCCGCAGTTTACGATTACCGTACGTTCCGTATCCGACAAGGCGGACAAGCGGAAGAGTCAGAAGTAACCCGGACATGTCTTAAATTTTATTATTGTCAGTTCGACTCGCGTAGTCAATATACTTGCGTATATTGTCGACTAAAATAGTAGAACTATTTTAGCTTTCTAAAGTACGGCCCACGGCGCATTTTTTTACCAGCATAGTACGGCGCACCGCGCAGGTCGTTAAAATGACAAAATAAATTCCCGTGCACCTGGCACATCTTCCTGACCATGGGGCGGCTAGGGCCTTGTAGCTGTGGGTTTGTAACTTAGTAACTTACTAATCAGAAATCATTAAACAAGTAATCATGGTTCCTAAATTATTGATATTATGCTGCTTTTAGTTAAGCCATGGGCCATGCAATTCTATTTTATTAAGTAGTAATATATATTTATATATATATATATATGTTCCTTTAAGCAGGTTTCATTGAAGACCAGAGAATTCTCTGCCCTCTGGTCTTCAATGAAACCTGCTTAAAGGAACCAATTTTGCCAGCATATACTAATATATATATGTCTAAACTCACTTGTATATCAATAAAATATAATAATAATCTCTCTAAATGTCCTTGTATTTACTATTTATTAGCAAATTTACCATATTCTAGAGCAAGGCCAGGGCAGAGTCTAATCAAGAGTATTTTTCAATTTCATTGGGTAATTGATTGGATTAATATTTTTCTTCTATTATGAAGCATTACCATTTTTGCAAAATTATTATAAATATCTATGATATTGTCATCAGTGTAATTGACATCAGTGTTATAATTTTCTAGGTCAGCTCAGTGAAGCCACTGTGGCTAGTGATGGGCAATGAGTCATGTGACCTGGACTCTGCCGTCTCTGCCATTGCCTACGCTGCTTTGCTTGCTAAGGTAAAGTAATGCATGCTCTTGATTCTTGAAGAGATATTGTTCTGATGACTTGGTTGCTTATATTTATTTTATCTAGCTATTTATAGATTGAATCAGATCATCTTTGAACTCGTGTCACTTTTGTCAGAAAAGCTTAACAGAACCACTGTAAATTTAGCTGCAAAGAAGGCTGTAGACTTCTTCATCATTTGGACTACATTGGAGTTATTGAACTAACAAGCATGACATTGAGACCGCCTCACCTGCCACCCTCAGTCTGTAGGACAAGGGAACCCCTTGAGACAAGCTCTCAAGACCGTCGCTTACACTGTGCTGGAGGAACCCACCAGCGTCGTCATTATGCAGTGGCGCCCAATATTAACTGACTGACGATTGCTGGCCAATTTGATTCCAGCTATCTGTTTTCAAACTACTGAAATTGTACCAACGATGAGACAGATTGCAGAGTCATTTTCCATTTAAAATTTCCTTTTTAGAGTTTTTTAATGACCTTCTTACATATGTTTCAAGGCAAAATTCCTAATGTGTTGGAATGTCAAATTCATTTCTAATTTGTTGTATGTGCTCTTTTTATGGCTTTTATTAGTGGCTCTCTTCATGTTAATTTTTCCCCATTATTTATAAGTCTCCAGTAATTTACTTATTTCACTGGACAAAATTACATCAATAGACTGTATGTTAATACTAGTGTTATTAACATGTATAACTCTATCATACTCGTATAAAATTTTTTTATAAATATCTGATTCATAATTTTTCATGCAGGAAGGTTTTCCTTCCACTTTTGTGCTGAATGTTGCACAATCAGACTATACACTGAAGACTGAAGTGCAGTACTGGCTTAGTAAACATGGCTTGACTGAGGAATTTCTGATGTTCAGGTAAAAGCTTACTGAATGATTTTCATCAGTCCTAGGGTGTTTATTTTTTAGTGCTAGTGCATATAGGTACTATGTCCATTAATCCAATCCATCCTTTGCAGTATTTGCTATTTCAATTAGCTATGAACTTTTTTAAAATGTCAGTATGTCTATTGATCCAGTCTATCCCATGATGTATATACATTCTTGAATTGTTGGTATATCCTTTGAATGTTATTTTTCTTCAAGAGCGAGTTTAATTTTTGATATCTGATTTAATTTGATATTTGCCTATAATGCTTACAATACAACTATATTATAGTCAAATGGGGTAAGACAGGATCGCAGCCTTCATGGGGTAAGAAAGGACCAGCCCATATCATGCATTCTAATTGCACTGAATTTAATTTGATAGAAGAATATGTTAGATAACAAGTGGTTGTGTAATCAAATAATGTGTTTCTAGATTGATAATATTGAATATCAGGTTTGTACTTTTATTAAAAACCTTGTAACACAAGAATTACCTGTTGGTCCTGTCTTACCCCATGCCCGGTCCCATCTTACCCCAATGGGGTAAGATGGGACCAGCTCACTTTTTTTATTCTGTACAGAAAACTATGTTGTATGCAGAAAGTCTGAGTTGTAGCTTAGAAGCCCATTGCATAACTACACCTTGTGATAGGTTTAGGGTTTTTTATTTATTCATGGTATAGATGCTACATGCTTGTTAGTGATTTCGGTCCTGTCTTACCCCATCTGACTATAATGCATTCAATAAAACAATATATCAAGAAATACTTCTCTCAAATTTCTGTCTTTTTAGCGCATTTTCTCATTTATGGAAAAAATGCACTATTGTGCTCGCCATGTCCGTCTGTCTGTCCGTCCGTGACCTCAAGTTTTCGTCCACAAGAAAATGCGCTCTGTCACTCACCGCAGTGAGTACTGAGTTATATTTTTTATTATTTTCAGGGATAACTTGAGTTTTAGTGATGGAAGAATCTCTTTAATGCCAAGATGGCTTCATAGCAACCATGAGAACACCTCTGATAGGACTCAACTCTGTGACCACTACAGCACAGCTCTGAAAGGATTCATAACAATGTTATCCTGTGCGTCTGCAGAGCCCTCTGTACTCACAGAGTCCTGTAATCCTTCAGGCAGCTCTGTCCACGTATGTTTAGTTGACCATCACGTGCTGGCCACCGCAGACTGGCCGCTGGGGCCATACGTGAGACAGATTATTGACCACCGTCCACTGGAAAAAACTTTTTCTGGTGAGCAATGTAGTACAATGATTTTTTTTCAAATTTCATCCCTCTTTTTGCTTCAAATATGTATGATATATGCTATTATTTAGAAAAAAACTTAATATTGATTTGAATTAGAATAAAAATTGGTCAATCTCTAACATGTTTTATGACGATCCTAATGAATAATGAATTGATGCATCAATGGTTTTAAGTGATGTTTATTTAAATCATAAATATAGAGTTCATACTACGTTCTATTTGATTTTGGTAAAAATTAATTGCATTAAGGTATAAAATTATGCTTGTGTTGAGTGCAGCTGCAGCAGACGTTGCTGTCGTGCACGGCATCGTGGGGTCGTGCTGCACGCTTGTTACTGAACTGCTGCACGCACGACAGCCGCAACTGCTGCACGACCTGGCGCCACTGCTGCACGGTAAGCCACAGCTGCTGCACGGTAAGCCACAGCTGCTGCACGTGCAATAATCTATGAACATGTAATATATATGAGGTTGAGCGTAACTTTATTCATAATTGCACCTTGTGGTAGGCTGTGACTTATAGGCCTATATATATTTTGTGTAATATTGTTTATAATAATGAAAATTTCATAAGAAACCTACATAATTTGTTTGTGTGCAGGTTGCATTGTCCTGGACTGCGTGAACTGCCTGCCAGCCGCTGGCAGAGCCACTGCCAGAGACGAGGCTGTGCTGGCACTGCTGGAAACTTGCATGAGTGTCAGCAACAGGTGCAGTGCCAGCAACAGGTGCAGTGCCAGCAACAGGTGCGGTGCCAGCAACAGGTGCAGTGCCAGCAACAGGTGCGGTGCCAGCAACAGGTGCAGTGCCAGCAACAGGTGCAGTGCCAGCAACAGGTGCAGTGCCAGCAACAGGTGCAGTGCCAGCAACAGGTGCTGNTAAAATAATAAAAGCAAAAAGAACAATAAAAAATGAGAGAAAATAAATAAATAAATATAGATAAAAAATTGAAGAGAGAAAATGAATAAAATAAAGGAACATGGTTGATGATAACATGGCTAAATGTTTAGGTACAGAATAGGTATTATTGATATGAAATTAAGCATCAGCTTTAGTGATCACCATATTGTCAGTGAATTCCAAGCCCAGTTAGTTGTAATATCCATGTCCTAATCGGCACCTCACATGGGATTGTACAAGTTACTGAGCCATTAGTCATTAGTCTGAGACCGGCTCAGGGCTACTCGGATAGCAAAAGTTCTGACGATCACCTCATCCCCTGGACGGAGTTTCCAGCTCAGCAGAACACCCATGGAAGGGATGAATAGTGCAGCTGCTGTCTCTTATACACATCTATCAATAGCTCTGGCTTCATTTGAGTTTCAATCTCTGGCTTCATTCAAATCAATAGCTCTGTCTTCATTCAAATCAATAGCTCTGGCTTCATTTGAGTTTCAATCTCTGGCTTCATTCAAATCAATAGCTCTGGCTTCATTCAAATCAATAGCTCTGGCTTCATTCAAATCAATAGCTCTGGCTTCATTTGAGTTTCAATCTCTGCCTTCATTCAAATCAATAGCTCTGGCTTCATTTGAGTTTCAATCTCTGGCTTCATTCAAATCTATAGCTCTGGCTTTATCGCAATTCGAAATATGGCTCAGGTTTATATTATTTCAAATGAAGTATTTTGCAAACTTGAATCGCCAAGCAAATTGACCATATCCTTATTGAAGACGAGGTGAATATACTCGGGTTTTCTTGGTTTTTAAATTCTTGCTGAACTTGCGAAGCTATCAAAATAATAATTTGAGTACAGAATGTAAATGCACGGCTTACATAAAACAGCCGTTTGTGTTTGACATGGTAATTACATTTTGTATGACTGTGATTGCATGACATACAGAACGTCTCTGTATGAGCAGCTGTGTGCAGCGCTGGTGGAAGGCGGTGATCAGCTGCTGAAGCTGCAGGAACAAACTGCAGATGTTGCAGTACGTGCAGCAGAGCTGCGGTATTTCGTGCAGCGCAACCTCAAGGCGTCCAGGAAGCAAATCTTGCCGCTCGTCAAACTTTTTGTCGAGCGAGAACTCAACTCGTCGCGTAGTTGATCATCTCTGTGAGTACGAATGTCTGTCTTTACCTTGTTTCAGTGTGGGTCAGCCTGACCCAGTTGAGCTTGGCAACAAGGCGTATTAGTGCTAGGTACGTGAAGTGTCACTATTTCGACTAGATGATATGCGCCATTAAATATTATTAGTGACATTTTTCCCTAGCAAAACCTGAACCCTTCGACGTGGTAAAGAAAGCCGTGAAAAAAAATCTGTTCTATTGAGACTTGATAAGTAATTTTTTACCTTTTACTTGAAGCCACACTGAATATTCTCTATCAATTTGTTTATCTAAACATTAACGATGATAATGAACTAATGCATAGTCTTTTCGCTGGTCAAATATCATCTTCCAATTCATTTCTCAGTTAAAGATGAATTAAGTTCATTCACATTATTCCGTTCTATTCATTTTCAGTAACGAGATGCATAAAATAATATGATGAGTATTTTGATACGGTGCTAGGTGAATAACAATATCTTTCATTTTAATGCTAGGAAAAATGATTATTTTTCCCATGAATTTATTCATTTTCCCAATCATCGAGCTGGCGGAGGTAGGGCTGCATTCTGTTCTCGGCTGCCGTGTGCACCGCTTTGGGTATTTGGCCCACCAGACCAAACGCCGCTTCGATCTGCAAAACAATGCAAATATTAATTTAAACAATTCAATATACGTGTTACCTAGATCACTTTCCCATTTCTATTGTAAGTAATTAATTTGTAACTGGGATAGGTTTATAAAAGCAAGTGATAAACGCAAGGTAGGAGAAGGTGGGGAAAGTTTGAATTAACAATTCAAGGGTAAAGCAAAGCTTGTGATATTTTGGTTATCAGATTATCAAATGAGTTTCTGCACATATCCGTCTCAGTAATTAACCATTTGCTCCTGAATATTTACTCAATTATCAATATTAGTAACCAGGCTCGCACTCATTCTTTCTGCATTTTTAAATTTGCATTCCTAATTCACTCCCTATTAAATTTACTTTGCTTTTCGATGAGTGACTCATACCTGTCACTCGGAGAAATAATTGAGAGTTATCCAAATTGCGAAGCATTTTTTGCCTTTGCTTTGCATTACCAGTTTGGCTCAGCAAAAAAAAGGTCTATCAATACTACGACCAAAAAGTGTCACTAATTGGACACTATGTAACCCATTAATTATGCTTGGTTTACATAAATTCTGCCGTGACAGTACTCACCTCGACCTTGTGCAGGCCTTGTGCGGGGAACATGGTCTTGGGCTTGAGTCTGCGGTAGTTGTTGCGGTAGCTCGCCGCTGCCTTCGACGCCGCCTCCTGCAGACCAGGCGTGTTGTGAACCGCCATATGCGTCTGTAATTAATATTGATTATTAGTAATATTTTCACCAATATTTGTTTATTTTTCGGTCATTCAATCACGCACGTACTCAAAAGTCTGGATTATTTTTCCCGCGATTCAGTCGTGCGGTGAATCTAAAATTCCCAGGCAACTAAATTTAGTTTGTTTCAACATCAATTTGCTGGAGGGAATATACTGACAGTAGCAAGGACGCTTGGGAGGGGTCATTGCAGTATATGCAAACATTATTAAATTAGTGTGGTCAGTATTTTACTAAAATAGAACATATAATAATATACTGACAGTAGCGAGGAGGCTCGGGAGGTGTCCAGTGTTGATGATGCGGCGGTTGAGGAGGACGCTGAGGTCATTCTGCAGGAGCTCGAGGTAGCAGGTCTCCTCCGGCCGGAGCAGCGTCAAGCAAGAGACCTTAGCGTCCTTTGCGGGGGTGCCATTTGTGTCCCCAGCAGCGGCGCTCCCCGCAAGGTGGCGACCAGCGAACCCAACGCGCCGTGCAAACACGCTGGATAAAAACGCTGTATTAGTTCAAGTATTCAAGTATTAGTCTAATAATTTAAGTAGAGTGTGCTGTATTATTTCAAATATATAGGTATTCAAGTATTCACTCATGATCTTGAGAGGTAATTACCACCGATTCCTATTGATTACCCTGCATCTTTACAATCATGACCCGAGAATTATCAAGTAATTCCGATTACCAGCCACGAGATACCATCCTGAGTTCTACTTAGTATTCCACGCTGACTTGGATTAACTGAAACTTTTGGATTAATTTCTGATCTAAAATATTGACATTTCTTGCAGTAGTACAATAAATAAGATGCAAGGAAACTGTCTGGTAATTGCAAGATCAATAACTAGTAGTGGTTTAATGTACTAGAATTGTAGTGCGTGACCCACCTCGTGTTGTGAGGTGGGTCAACTTGCAAGACACAGTCGACGTTCTGCACGTGCCAGCCCAGGACGTCAGCGTCGCAGCACAGCAGCACTCCTGAAGTCACGGACACGAACGTCTTGTGCGTCGACGTTCGTTGCTCCCGCGTCAGCCCGCTCTGAACAATTAATATACTATAATAGTAGTAGTAAATATCTAATAGTTTAGTAAAAAAAAGAAATTTGCACTAGTTAAGCACGTAAAGAATAAACATCCATAACTATAATAAAAAATAAATCTCAAGTATACGTATAGTGGCACATTTTTCTTCACTGTTAAGGCTCAAGTGGTGACTTCAGTGGCATTGACGTTAGCGGCGTAAGGACTATGTGGTGACTTTAGTTATTTATGTACATGGTAGGCGATGTTAGGGATGCCCATGACGGCCAGGACGCGGCTGTAGAGCTGCACCGTCGCGTCCAGCGTGAAGAACACGAGCGTCTTGCGCGCTGCGCTCTGCTGCAATGCCTTCACCAGCAGCCCCAGGCGGTAGTGAGTGGGACACAGCATATATTCTGCACAGGAAAATAATTTTAAGAAGGAAATTATATAAGAATTATCTGAAAAACAACTAAAAAGTATCTAGATAAATGCCGCTGTGTAAAAAATGTCATTTCATAAAATAATGCAAGTTAAATAGGATATGCTGCTAGGTCTTCACCAGCATTCCCAGGCGGTGGTGGGTGGGAGTCGAAATATATTTTGTTGAATACAACAAAACTTAGAGAAATAAATACCATATATTGTATTTAGAAAACTCACTTGGAGAACAATAGAATAGAAATCATCTCAAAAAAGGCAAGTTATCTGAAATTATCCTAGAGAATGCAGGTTAATTATTGAATGTCATTTCCTAAAGTATAACTTAAATGGGACATGCAGCAGCATACCCAGGCGGTAGTGGGTTGGAGTTAGAATATATATTCTGCTAAGGAAAATAATGGGAATTATATGAAAACAATGCGAGTTAATGCTTAAGAAGTATCACTTAATTCACAAATACACTTCAAAGGTGTGGTACCATATATACCATGCCATGGTAGATAATAAAGAAATGATATACAGTGAAGACATGGTACACAATGAAGACATAGAAATAGTGAAGGTATTGTAACAGCAGTAAACAACAAAACAATACACATAGAAGCAGTGAACAGCGAACTGTATGCATACAGTTCATCACTGTTTAGACAAAGTTTCTTCATTTCTCTCAGTGCCCCACAAGTGACTAGGTACTGACCTAGTGTGACGTGAGGGCTGAGCCCCGCCCCTCGGGGGGCGCTGAGGTCCACGTCAGCGTACTTGCGCCCCCCGAAGTAGAGGGCGACCAGCTCAGCGTCCTCCTTGCCGTGGGTGGCGCTCACCATGACGACCTGCAGCTTCTCTGCACGGGCAATAACACCATTATTGTTGCTGCCTCAATTATGGTTACTTGTTACAATTATTGCTCTAGTCACAATTATTGTTACTAGTAACAATTATTGTTACTAGTAACAATTATTGTTACTAGTTACAATTATTGTTACTAGTTACAATTATTGTTACTAGTTACAATTATTGTTACTAGTTACAATTATTCTTACTAGTTACAATTATTGTTANCTGTCTCTTATACACATCTAGATGTGTATAAGAGACAGGGGTAGGATGGTCTGCATGTGAGGTACTTACTGGGGAGCTTGGGTAGGATGGTCTGCATGTGAGGTACTTACTGGGGAGCTTGGGTAGGATGGTCTGCATGTGAGTAACTTACTGGGGAGCTTGGGTAGGATGGTCTGCATGTGAGGAACTTGGTCGTAGTGGCACAAGAGGAAGTCAAACTCGTCGAGCACCAACATGAAAACCTGAAATATTGTTAAGATCAATAATTGTATAATATAAACACAGACACAAGTATTTGTCTTTGCATTTTTCAAGAGAATTGAATGCGTTAATCATCTTAACTATTGTCAATACTATTTGTACCTGAAGGTCTTATAGGAAGAATTACAGTCGGAAGTCAAAGGGTAAAAAGCCAAATCTTAAGTTGATGTTAGTTTTTAGTTTTGAACATAGTGTCAAACATAATTTTATAATTTCTAGTCATATGACTTCATGATTTCTAGTCGTATCATTCAAAATTACCAAAAATGGGAGGAATTTAAATTAAAAATACAAATGAAAATAAACATGAAGTCATGTTTTTCAAAAGCATGAGAAGGCGTGGCTGAAATGAGAAAATGCTACTTAATATTCTTGTCGAGGTAACATTCGTTTTTTTAAAATTATTTTGTTGGGTTTAGGTTTTGGGTTGGGTTTCGCAGCATGCCCACGGTCACGCTGTAAGCACCGCCTACAAGCAACACTACAGAATGTTTACTGCTTGCCGGGGTTCAAACCCACGACTTGCACCAACATAAATGTGATTGAATACCAACCTTTTCCAATGAGAAGTTTGGTGTATTTTGCAGGTGATGACAAAGAGAAGCGGGTGTGCAGAAGAGCACGTTTGCACCTGTACAACAAAATTGAATAATGATGAAAATTTTTAACTCAAGTTTATTGCTCAACTTGAATAGAATCTGACTTGTTATAGTGAAATTTCTGAACAAAGACCTACAGTAGTTGGTAAAATTCTGTGAACTAAAACTAAAATGCATCATAATAAACAAAAAACAAAGGACTACTATCCTGCAATGAAACAATGCAAAAGATAGCGACTGAAAAAACATGAATATAATTTTGCAGAAAATTGCAGCAAAAATTATGTAAGTACCTATACAGAAAATATTGCAATTGTTTCTGTTAAACGAAATTAATAAAAAAATTTTAACTGGTTTGATAAGTTTTGAAATGAATAAGCATACAAGTGAAAATTGCAGGTATTTAAGTCACATGCTAGCTTAAAATTTGATGAGTTTGTGAAACAATTTTAAAATGGATGTCTCTATGAACCTTGCATCTAATTCTCAATGTTAATAAGAAGAATGATATCGAATAAAGTATTAAAGTGAATGAAATATTTATATAAATGCTAGTTATTATTAATACTTGTTTGGTCATCATCACATCCGTATGCCACAGAGCTGGTGAAGCTGTCACCACTGCTGCGATGCACGAGTTTGTGCAACTCTGCTCTGCTCTGCTCACACAAACCAGAGTTGGGGCAAAGCACCAGCACACCAACTCCTGTAAAAATTGCTTTCAGTAAATTCAAACTTTATATTGATCATACAATTATATACTATTTTAATAACGGAATCTTTTTAAGAAATTTGATCGAGATAAATAGCCAATTTTTTTTAATATTGGAATCTTTTTAATAATTTGCTCGAGATAACTAATGACTTTTTAATAAAGAAATCTTGAAAACTTTAAAAAAATAATAAGTTCTTTTATGTAAAAAAATATTACATGAAATACAAATCAGAGGAGATGGGGGGAGATGCCAGTTCTCACTTAACCTACTGAAAATTTACAAGAATTTATGGGCTTAACTTATTAGTAACACCAGGCAAGAAAAATTACTTGCAAAGAAAATGGAATACAAATGTTCTAGCAAATGATCAATAAATCAAGAGACATTTTCTACATGAAAGTGAATTCCATGAAAGACTAACCATTTTCTTTGTTGAAATTTGTTCTCCTGAGTCGATCCAAGACTGGAATTAAAAAAGCAAGTGTCTTGCCAGAAGCTGGCTCCGCTATTATCCTGCAAGAAAGTGAATACATTTTATGCCAAGACATGAATTAATGATTGGTTATATACAAAATTTAATGCAGTATATTTCAAGACAATGCAAACCTGTGTAATGAAAATTATCACACAAGACAACATTTCATATTTTTCAGGGGTTGTAATGATGCTGCATTTAATACATCTGACTGCATATCTTTTGGAGGTCGGGACTGTAAATACAACTTTAATTTAAAATTTAACTTAGTGTATTAATTTTAAACATAAAATATGCTCAGGAAAACTTTGGCCTTTCAACAAAATAGTCTTCATATTGAGGCTTGTTTGAAGATATGAATGTCTCCATAAATTTAATTAGTATGATTATTTCAATTTTTAACCTATAATTAATTTTAACCCTGAAAGATGGACAATACCGAACAGTGACATTGCAGTGAAATAAATAAAATTGATACAATAGTTTATATTTTGACATGATATTACGATCTTGTATCACTATAATCTTACCTGGCATTCGTGCCTTTAGCAAGTAAAGGGATTGCTATAGCTTGGATATCGGCAATTTTATTGAAATTCAAATTTTTGATGTCATTCAAGGTCTCTTTGGTGAGGACTTTTTCCAGAACAGAAACAGGACAACCACGAGGGTTTCTCTTAAAGTTAGGAACAAATGGGCATAATTTGGGAGTAGCTGGCAAGATGACTGGCATACGGCCTGAAAAAGATGGAAAATTTATTGAAATGAAAATGAAAAAGACAGAAAATTTATTTATAAATTTTATGCATAGTAGGAGTTTTAATTTGATTAATGAAGGTCACTCATAAGAAGAGCATCACTGTACACTATATGTACTTTTCTCATAGCATTCATAAATTCACAAATTTGAAGCCAAAAACAAACAGAACAAAAAATTAACAGAATAGTCAAAATGTTGAACAGGAATGAAACCAGAAAAATTTATGTAAATAAGAAAATAATCTGTCAGTAGAAAATAATATAATAGAAAAATAATATAAAACAATATATGCAGTAACATGCTCATAAAAAAATTCCTGGGGGGGGATTAGAAGGTACCAATATCAAGGCATTACATTATAAAATTACAAACATTTGATGCACAATAAATTTATAGAACAGAGATAAATTCATAAATTACTAGAGGGCACAATAGCTAATCTATTGATCCTAATTTTCTGATTAATTTTAAGTAATAGTAGGTATGATTAATGTAAAAATTTTTATTAGGTAACAGTGGGCCTAATTTTTATTGTTGAATCGAGTAATTTTTTGTTGCTCTAGCAATGCAATTTTAATAAAATTGTCAAGAAATGACTGAGCTTCAAATTGAAACAATAGAAAACCTCTTAAAATAAAATTTCACAATCAATAGGGACTTTGGAAGACTTACCCTTCAATTTGGCTTCCTTTCTTGCAATTTTGATCATTTTGGCCCGCTCCTTCTTGCGCTCCTTCTTGACAGCCAGCCATGCTTCCTTTGGCAGGGAGCCCAGCTCATTTGGTACTTCTGTTCTTGGTCTTTTAGCAGGATCTGCATAATTAAATGTTCAATAAGTAAGCATAAACACAAGATTGATTGTTAAATTTAATTAAATTGAATTCAAAACCACCAAGTTCTATCCTTCCTTCTAAAGATTAGGGATGAAATCTGAATAGCATTTCAACAAGATTTGAGAAATTATACAGCCATATCTATCTGAAGCCAGAAGCTGTATATAAACTAATAATTCTGAAAATTGAATAGTAAGTAATAATGATTGACGAATATCTTAACTGTAGAGAAAACAGATGCATACATCGTGATACACGACCTCCAAGGTGCAGAAAATGAGAGAATATCCAAAGATTCTTGGCAATACCATAGCACATTAACAACAAAATTTTTGTCTTCTGAAGATCTTGCCAATTCATTTATCTTTAAATAACTATTACATGTATTTTTTGGCAAGAAATCTTGAAAATTAGGTAATTCTGGTGACAGATCCTCCATAATACTGGTGGGCCTAAACATTTGTTCTTTGCAACACAATTGCCAAACTCTGCATAGTGGTATTATCTTTGGCACATTCAAACAAACCAATTCTCTATCAGCCAAATCCATCAAATTTTTTGTTACTTGACATTGACAAGATTCTTCCATTGCCTGCCAACACCAGGGTGCAGAACTAACTGAAAAATTGGTCAGAAATTAACTATAAATTGGACAATGATTCCTGTGAATCTGGCTTTTCCTGCTTCTATGGTCTTTTCCTAATTTCTTTGATAAAAAATAAGATTTTAAGTAAAGAATTTCAAGAAATTACCCTTGAAACTATATATTTTAATTATTATTTTTGGAAAATTCTGCCCAATATTCCAAATTAGAATGCAGAAAGTACCAACCTATAGGAGATTTTGGATAGAAAAGAAAAAGACAAATAACTTACTGACACTGTTAAGTAGTTTTCCTTTTCTTTTCTCAGCACTCCACATACATGCTAGGCTTTTATCTTCCATGTTTATGCTTGCAAAATATATCTAATGAATGAAAAAGAATTTTTAAATTAATAAAAGTAAATTTTTTCATTGATTGCTTGAAATTTTGTTTAGTATATATGGATACTACGGATAAAATAAATTCTTATATCACGGGTGCTTATTGAACGATGGTTGTCAAACTGTCACAGCACTAGCTGAAGCCTGAAGCTGCAACTTTCATCAAATGAGACTCAACACCACATTTTTTTCTTCTTATAGGAGCACTGGATACTGGTCCATGCAGCCCCTTGCCTAAATAGGGTCTAGTTTGTGTCTAATAGTTATATAACATCTGAAAATCTACAAATCTGGAAAAGCAACACACAAAAAAGCACAAGAATAAAATAATAAAAGCAAAAAGAACAATAAAAAATGAGAGAAAATAAATAAATAAATATAGATAAAAAATTGAAGAGAGAAAATGAATAAAATAAAGGAACATGGTTGATGATAACATGGCTAAATGTTTAGGTACAGAATAGGTATTATTGATATGAAATTAAGCATCAGCTTTAGTGATCACCATATTGTCAGTGAATTCCAAGCCCAGTTAGTTGTAATATCCATGTCCTAATCGGCACCTCACATGGGATTGTACAAGTTACTGAGCCATTAGTCATTAGTCTGAGACCGGCTCAGGGCTACTCGGATAGCAAAAGTTCTGACGATCACCTCATCCCCTGGACGGAGTTTCCAGCTCAGCAGAACACCCATGGAAGGGATGAATAGTGCAGCTGATGTGTAAGGTGCAGGGGTCTTAATCTGTGTCCCATCTGTGTAGATGGCTGTGTGAGCAGAAAACTTTTGAGTTATTCAGGTCCAAAAAAAATTGTACAGCAGCCTGTACCTGATGCCAAAGCAGAGGAAAATTGGTCCAAAAAGTAGTCATTTGCATTGAACCAAGGGGGCAAAGGAGATATAAGGAGATGTAAACAAATGAGGAGCAGGAATGTGCAGGGCAGACATGACTGCTCAGGGATGGGAAATAAAATTTATTGGTTTGGAAGATGCCCTGCAGGGTAAACGAGGAACATTTGGATAAAATAAGTCTTTTACTATTGGACAGTGAGGCAATGGTATGAGATGAAGGAAATATCTACATAGCATTTATTTTTGATGCACAGAGAGAGGTGGAATATGGGCTTTAACCACCATTGAAGGAACTGGGGTAGTTCTTCTTCAACCTAGAGCAATTTTCTGCACCCCAGCTCTGTCTGCACCCCAGTGTCTGCTTGATATAGACTGGAGTAAGTTGGTTATAGGTACGCATACAAGATAATCTGAGTGAAGCAATTTGAGGTTCTCACGGAAGCTGAGGGGCATCCAGGACAACTCCAGGATAGCGGTGTTGTTTCACATATTCAAGATCAGAGCCATCAATGCCCAGCAGAGTGGCTGTGACTTTTTTGTTGGTGAATAACATACATTTTGTTTCTGAGTGATTTATGGATAGGCCCCATATCTTGGTAAATTCAAAGAATTTGGTCAATTGTGATTTGTGTTTGAATTTTATTGTTAGAAATGGCAAGGTCAGGAAGAGAAGAAGGTCACATCATCTGCGTAGTCAGCTGTGTGCACCCCCTGCACTGATTGCGTGGAGTCTACGTCACGCTTTACGTCACGCTTACGTCACTGCCTGCATCACTACCTGCAGATCTAGGGCAACCAATTTTTAGCTGTTTCGTACTAAAAATATAAGTTTTTAACTAGTATCAGTATTTGGCGTTGGCAGGCGTAGGATGGCGACAAGTCAGAGAAAAACCCAAGCGGCTGGGGACAAGAGCAACCCAACTGCAACTGCATACAATACTGCAGTCTGCACTCAATGCAGCAAAGAGGTGCGCTTGGAGGATAAGGGCTTATGTTGTGAACTCTGCGCAGCGTGGTATCATGCTTCCTGCGTCAACGTCGATGGCACACTCTACAAGTCTTTGAAGAGTGAAAGTCAGGTGCGTCAAAACTCATGTATTCACTTCTACTGCCCAAGACCGTGCAACGAGCTGGCAAACAAATTTCTTGCCAACTTCATGTCTATGGATGTAAAAATAAACAAACTGGAAGGCAGAATCACCACCATTGAAGGGAGAATGGAGAAAGTGGAACAAGGAGAGTTCATGTCAGAAATGAAAGCAACAGTAGAAAGGATCACCAAACCTATGACAGAGGCCTTGTCAAGGAGAATTGATGGATTAGAGAGCGGTGGTTTCACCAATGACATGACTGAGGCAGTGAAGATGATTGTACAGCCTCAAGAAGGAGATCAGGTGGCAATGCAGAGTATTGGTGATCAACGGGCAAAAAACAAATTGCTGAAATGGAGGAGAGGAACAAACGTAAAACTAACCTTTTGATTTTCAGTATCGAGGTTATGAAAGACACAGTCGAGGAACGGAAAGCAGAAGACAGGGAGCGAGTGAAGCAGATACTGGGCGGCATCAATGGCCCACATCAACCAAGGGAGGTGAGAAGGTTGGGAGCACCGCCGCGGAAGGAAGAGCAGAAGCAAGGCAATCTGAATAGACCAAGGCCAGTCAGGTTGTCCTTCGGCTCGGAAGCAGAGAGTGATGACACACTGAAGGCCTTCAGATTTGCTACCAAGGATGCAGACAATGCTCTAGCCAAGAGAGTTTCAATGCGGAGGGACATGACACCCCAAGAAAGGGAAGAGGACAAACTGCTTTTTTTAGAGCTGAAGCACAGGAGGGAGCGAGCGAGAGCGGACGGGGACGATCAAGCAGTCTGGATCAGACGGAGGGGCGCGGTAGTCAATGTGGGCAAGTACCCAACCCAATCGCCAAGCTGAAATCAGGGCAACTCCTAGCAAGGGATGATGTCAATGTACATAGCTTTAAAATCAAGACAGATCCATTGCAAGACAAGGCTGAACACAATAGGCAGTGCATATATTTATACAGTAATGTGGACTCGCTCAGTAATAAGAAGTCGGAGCTGGAAGCCATGGTCGATCTGTACAAGCCTACTTTTGTCGGCTTAACTGAAGTGAAGCCTAAGAACTCTAGATTCTCCATGCAGGAATGCAAGCTCAGCCTACCGGGATATGAACTATTCCATAACCTAGAAACTGGACCAAGAGGCATCTGTGTGTATATATCAAAGGATTTCAAGCCGGTGCTGTGTGAGGATATAAGCAGAAACTTTGAAGAGGTTATTCTTGTGGAATGTAAGAGAGCAAATGGCAAGCCCTTTATCCTGGGCCTTGTGTACAGAAGTTCCAACTCAACACCGGAAAACAACAAAGAACTGAACTCTACCCTTCGTGAGGTCAGTGTACAAAAGGATAGGGATCTTCTTATACTTGGTGATTTTAATTACCCGGACATTGACTGGAAAGTGGGCAGAGCTGGCACAGGACCAAACACCCAGCTGCAGCATTCTTGGAGACTGTCAAGGACTCATACCTCCTCCAGCACCAAACAGAACCCACAAGATTTCGTCAAGGACAAAAAGCCAATCTCATTGACCTGGTGCTCTCAAACAGAGAAAATATGGTGGACGACATACAGACAGTCTCGGGCTTAGGGAAGAGTGACCACTTTTCTCTGGTCATTAGCCTGAACCTCCAACCTATCAAGGAAAAAGAAAGAGTCTTCTTAAGGTACTCTAAAACAGATCCCAGCATCCTTAAGGAAAAATTAAGCCAAGCAAACTGGGAAGAAGAGCTCGAAGGGAAGGACGTTGAGGGCTGTTGGGCGGTGATGAAGGAGACGATTCAAGTAGCTGTTGATAAGGCTGTGCCAAAAGGAGTCTCAAGGAGGTCACAACGTAAAAAGTGGATGGATGGTGGTACCTTGGAGAGTGTTAGAAGGAAGCACCGACTGTTTAGAAGGTGGCTTAAGACTAGAACAGGTGAAGACTATACTGCATATCTAAGGGCCAGGAATAAAGCGTCAAACGAATGCCGCAGGGCAAGAAAAAGACTAGAGAAGTCAATCGCTGAGAGCTCAAAGAAAAACCCCAGAGCCTTCTGGTCTTACGTGAAATCTAAGACTGCAACAAGACTGGGCGTGGCGGACTTGAAGAGAGAAGATGGCTCCAGAACAAAAAATGATAAGGAAAAGGCAGAGTTGCTCAATAAATACTTCCAGACGGTATTCACTGTTGAAGATGACGGGCCTGTGCCTGGCACACAAGAGTATACTTACCGTGAGGCCCTAGACGATTTTGAAATCACTCATGAAGATGNCTGTAAACAGCTTCAAGAGCAGGTTTGACAGTTTCTGGAGGGACAACCCGGCCCTGTACAGCCCTTCATGCTACGAGTGATGAGGCTTCGATCATCTTGGAACAGACACTGCGACGTGTGCGGTGCTGATAAAAATTGTTGTCGACCGATGAACAGGACCGTCAGGGACCTTAAATCATATTGTCAAAGTCAAAGTCAAAGTCTGATGGGAGATCCCTCATCATGACATTAAATAAGAGGGGTATGCTGAATGCTGGCCTTTCTAGATTTCACTTTGACGGATCATGACAGTTATTTACAGACGGATCACTTTGAAACTTGGTATACATATTTAAAAAATAAATCTAAGACTTTTTTTGCTTGTGTGAATTTTTCAAAAAATGAAAGAAAACGTGAAATTCTTAGAAAACGGCCAAAAAGGGGGTACTGTAGAAATCTATCTCCTCCTAGGTTTTCAAGCTACAATATCAAGACGCATATCATTCAATGTGTAAGGACCATATCTATCGATTGGTCCTTGTCAAGGACCAATCAAAAATTTTGAAAAACAGCAAGGAGTCAAGGACTCCTTGACTCCTTGCTGTTTTTCAAAATTTTAATTTATTTGGGTGGGGGGTGGTCATATTTTGAAAAAATTTTGATTTACCCCCACCCACCCTTTCAAATTCCCCCCTTTTTTTAGAAAATATTCAGAACTATAATGAAATTGAAAAAAGCTACAACCAATCTCTAGATCTTTTATTTGCAAATTGAATGGTATATCTCTCATTGCCGAAGCTTAAAAACTCTAGGAGGAGATAGGTTTGCAGTAACAATAAATGTGAATGTTCAGTAGAGCACAACGAAGTC